GGTAGGTGCACGTAAGGTAACCAGCCATAGCACATTGTTGGCTTGAAAAATCCCCTGCATTTCGCATACAATTACTACTGTTAGGCACCTTGAGCCACCCTGTCTGACGATGCGCCAGCTGAAAGCATTCCAATCTTGCGCGAAATCAGCTATTCTAGGCGACAACTTATCTAGACGTTCGAGTGAGTGCTAGAAAGGTGGGGATTCCATACATTCATGTTACTCTGCAAGTAGTACAGAAGCTTCTGGCTGACTTCAGTTTTACTCGCTTGCATCGTTAATGTGCTTACATATACATTAAAATGTGAATCGGAGAAACATTTTGAAGGTTCAGTGTACAGCTTAGCATCACATTAACAGTATATTAAATGCAAATCATTTGTTTGCATGCAGTAAACACTTTTGGCGTGTGTCTACGTATCTGTCTATATGTCTATTGAGCCACCTACATCTGGGTGCTCTCGTGATCACCCCCATACCTTTGCATAAACCAAAACTAGTATGGAAGAGTAAGATGGTTTGAAGAATACAACTCGCTGGTGATCCCATGAATAATGTCACAATCCCATCGCGTACGTCATCGAACACTTTCCGCAAGACAGTGGCACGTTGATTGATATGTGGGGTTTAACGTCCCAAAACCACTATATGATTACGAGAGACGCCGTAGTGGAGGGCTCCGGAAATTTAGACCACCTCACCCCCTTACAGCAGCACGTACCTGCCTGCAGATATGTGCCACAGGTGATTGACACTTCATATCTACCCAGGAACGGCGAGAACATGCATGGGTAATTCTAACGCTTGAGCGTTCAGAAAAAGCTGACATCAGCTGCATTTGCCCGATGAACGCAAAAAAGAAAAAAAAAAAGATGTCAGGGTTCCAGCAGAAATCAAACCCCGGTATTCTGCGTGGCAACCAAGTATTCTACCACAGAGCCAGGCCAGGTTGTCACGCAACTGCTTTTCAAATAGATCGCAATGTTCGTGAAGAGTCAATAGGGGATGCAGTGATGGCTATCCAACTTTATAAACATAACATATGTATTCCTACAATACAGCCATCACGTCGGGCTAAAATGAACTGAGGTTAAGCGCAAAGCACTGAATGTGATTGACAGTTTGTACTTGACATGATAATTTCAATTCGAGAGCACTGAAGGGTCTCTGCAACACCTTTTCAGCATGATCAGAAAACGCCGACAATTGGTAGTAGAGGCTCTCGAGAACACACGAGCCAAATTTCATAGTGCACCACATGTCCTACAATTCCCAATATAGTATCAAAGTCAGCTAAAAATTGCTTTCTCTTCCCTCGACAAATGACGGAAGACACTCAAAAATCACTTGTAGAAGGCCATCAATCAGCCATCAGCTGATTAGAACATGGCGCACTCGGTCGTTACAGAGATCGCCGCGGGAGGCCGTGACTTGTCCATGCGTGCGCCCGTGATCACAATGAAAAAGCCGCGTATTCGAGGGAAAAAAAAAGTGCTCAAGGTCACGAGGCGCACATGACATATTTTCTTTGCGCCTGCCATCCCTCCCTACTTTGCTTCCAGCGCTTTCTTAAGGACGAGAGAAGAGAGATTGCGATTGCAACATGCGACAAATCTTCGTATATCCGCTCAGACTGGACGGATTCTTAAAACTTTTGCGGCCTTGAATTCAAGAGGATATACGCTCTTCCAGTGAATTCATTCCATGGTTTCTTAAATAAGTGTTTGAGGGCCTTTTTAAAAAAAATCAGTGCATCTCCATGAAGTGAATGACGATGACTGGGCGAATCTATAGGCCTTAGGGTCCATAATGCATATACTGAAGTCGTCATCTAGAATAAAGGACAAACGAATGGACCGACAGACGAACGAACAGGTGGGCATACGCACAGGTGGTTGGACGGAAAGACAGATGGGCGAATGGACAGACTGATGAACAGTAGGATGCGCAAACAGATGTACAAACAGACCAATGCATGGACGAATGAACAGATGGACCGCGTGGGTGATCACGTATTGTGCTGTCATATAATTGACTACACGTAAAGTCAGTTGTTTACACATGTTTTCATTTTTTGTTGTGCAGGTGTTCAGTTTCAGTTCGGGTTCTCTGGAGTATGATAGACACCAACTAGGTCGACCCTAAGAAGCTTTTCCCCTAAAAGCCAGCATTGGTAGCGTTAACCCAACGAACGCATCCAATACATATTATGGTCCTAGCAGGAATTGAGCCCCAGCATTCTGCGTAGCAATCAAGTACTCTACCCCTGAACCACGCCAGGTTTCGAAACTGCTTTTCAAGTGGACTGTAATGTTCATGAAACATCAATTGTGGTTGCAACGCTGGCTATTCAATCTTCTAAACGGTACATGTATACTCCTGTCATACAGCTATCACGTCATGTTAACAACAATTGTAGTGAAGCCTCCATTTACTTCATTTGACATATTTCAGTTGTGTCCAGGACTGCCAACCTCACTGGCACAAGCACTACATATCAGCTTACCGCTTTTGGCATCGCCAATACCCATTCTGCTGTTGGCTTCATTACGCAACAGCAAACATGCGGCTGTTTAACATGTCTGTGTATACAACATTTGTACGTATCTTCAGCATAATTTCGTAACATTTCGCTCAATAAAAAAAGTTACAACACAGTCACCTTTCTTCTGGAAGCTTTGCATAACATTGATTCCCAAGGTACGTGTGATCTGTTGAATTTAGTTTTTCTTAGAGAACTAAACAGTCCTTGTGACTACACACTGACCTCTTACATCGTGTAGGCCAATGGACAGTTTGCAATAATCTGCAAGGCGGCTAAGGTTTGTTTTCCAACAAAAACTCTCGTTTTCAGACTGATTTTGTCCCTTATTGTGTTGCGCTCGCGTGCTCGCCTGCCCTCGCTGGTATTCCAAGAGGTGACACTGTGCTCTACCTGCGTGCTCACATGCCTTGCTGGAATTCGGAGAGGTAAAAGCACATTGAGCGAGAAAAGTAGTCTGTGAACGAGAGTTTTAGGTTGGAAAACAAACCTTACAAGAAAGCCACCTTGCAGATTATTGCAAACTGTCCATTTTACTTTGGAGAATGGGTATGCTGAAACAGCGGTGATAAAAAGAAAAGGAAGAGATTCTTGTGAATAGTAACTGTATTTTACTCATGACAAACTGCACCTATCCAAGTCTCATAATAAATAAAGTAGCATTTATTTCAGCAATGCGAATGAGAAAGTTATCGGCCATCTTAAGTATTATTTTTTGGCACGGGAGCAGGCATGCACTTTGGTTCTATTGCTTCCACAGTGCTGTCAAGAAAAGTTGCCGCCAAGTATGCATAGTTTGCATGGATGCCGCCATCTCAGGTAGTTGAGATGCTGCTTGAGCTCTTACTTGAAGAAATGGTGTCATTAGATTAGTGCCGGTGCCCCATGCATTCTTTTGTGTTCACCCTCGGCTCACGAACAGAAGAAAGTAGGGAGAGCACAAGAGAATGCAGGGACTGATCGACTATTTGTGCTTCTTTGCACCACCACTCTCTAGTGAGATAAACTGTCAAGGTTGCCCCCATCTTAGGACCCCCAGCACAGAGAACCTGTTTGACGTCCCAGTGAAAACTATGCACAGCTCACGGTGGCAATGAAGGCTTCTCGCACCAACTGATTCACTTGGTGTGGGAACTAAGCAAGCAACGATTGGTTTGTGAGTAAGTACTCTCCGAGTTTTCATGCTATTAATAACTCTGTTTTGCATGCATCGCAGCATATTAGTGATGTACGAAACATTTTTGTTTACCCAAACATGATTTTAAATTTGCACCAGTCACTCCCAGTTTTAGAGACAGGTGACAAGACGTTTGGTCCTTTCGATTTGCTTTGCGCTGCGTGAACTAGGTCCAGGCAGTACATAAGAAAGTGCAGCCAGAGCTGAACTCGCCCAGCACCCGTTCAGCGAATACACACGTGACTAGTTCCACAATGAAAAGAACGTCGAAGTGCAGGCAGTGCAGCCAGTGTACCACCGATAGTGTACTGGCAGCACTGTGTTTCTCAGCTGTGCGTTGTGTGCTTGCGTGTGTTTTCTTGAAAGCGCTGGTGTGCAAGCTGGCCGATTTTGTCTCAAAAGAGCTATGAATTCTATCGCAACATATGCAGCCATCATGCAAAGTTTTACAGAACTCATAAGAGTTCGACAATGTCGTCGCAGTTATTACGCGACGACATTGATAAGGTTGCAACGCAACAGAATCCCAAGGTACTGCAGGGAAGTCATGAGCCAGCACCTTATTTTTTCCTAACCCGACAACAGGGCGATCAATAGTCAGTGCTGAAAAGACCCGCTTAGTGGTTTTGTGCTACTAGGGTGGACATTGCTGTATGTAACCCTTGTCAACTGTACATAGTTTCACTGAGCGAACCTTGGATTTTCTCAACAGCGCAAGTGCAGAAGTGATTGCCTGCAGACAGACAGGAGCAAGAATACAGCAAAGCCAGTTTCCTAGCAACAAGCCACAACATGAAGCCTAAAAACACCGTATGATGTATAGGCGGCCGACATATGGATATCAAAATGCCAATGGAGTCACAAAACTCCTACAGCAACGCAATTCTCGTCTTCATTCAACATCTGTGCCAACCTTGCGAGGCCGCTCCATACGGATACACATAGTTATTTTGCTACCATGGCTGCAACAGCGCCACTGGTTGTACTGTAGCTGCAATACCTTCAAACTTAGAGCAGGGATTTGTCTGAACTGGCCGTGCACAATGCCTGTACTTGTTGTAAACGAATGGCTCAGTTCAGAGGGCGTCGCCTTGCACTACCAAACCAACGGTCGAGTCCGACAACAAGTGAGCCTGTTCAGGCAGTGCCGGTAAATCGAGAGGACCAATTCTGACCAGCCTCGCAGATAGAGGAGTGCGGCCATGGTCTCTTTTGAGTTACAGGGAGTGGTTTACTGGCCTAGCCACACTTGAGCACACCATTATACAAGTGCGAAAGAACCTTTTTCTGCTCGGCCATGACGTAAGCAGTCCTCGTGCGTGGGCAGGGCCCGCATGAGGCCGAAGTCGCCGATCTTGACCGCGTTGGCGGCCGCCAGCAGCACGTTCCGCGCCGCCAGGTCCCGGTGGATGAAATGTCGCGACTCGAGGTAGGCCATGCCATTGGCCACCTGCAGCGCGTACTCTACCAGGCAGGAGACCGGCAGACGGCGGCACTGTTTGCGCAGGTAGTCGCGCAGGGAGCCGAGCGGCGCCAGCTCGGTGACCATCATGAGCGGCGCGCTCAGCACCACGCCGAACAGCTGGACGAGGTTGGGGTGGCGCAGCTGCTGCATGGCGTTCACCTCCTTCATGAAGTCCTCGAAGGCGCCCGGCTGCGACAGGGCATCCTCCTTGAGGATCTTCACGGCTACCGGCATGGTGCGACCGTCCGGGGCGTCCCACTCGCCCCGAACCACGACGCCGAACGAGCCGTCACCCAGCTTGCTCGCCAGCGTCACGTCTTTCTCGTGGATCAGGCACGTCAGCGTGCTAAGGTCACTTGTCGCAGACGCGCCGATCACCACTGACGGCTGCTGCACGACGCGGGGGCCCGCCTTGATAGGCAGCAGGCGGCTGAGCAGGTTTCGCTTCCACTGGGAGGCGCGGTGTTTCTTGACCGTATCGAGCAGACGACGCGCCGCGGGCTTCCCCATACCGATCTTCTCGAGGTCCTCGGTCTGGACGAAGTCGAAGTGACGCGGACGCGTCACCTGCAGCTCGTCCCGAATCTTCATGAAGAACTGTTCCAATTGCACCACGCGAAGCACCTCATAGAGCCACTCGACGCCCGCGTCCTCGCCGACGTCCGACGAGCCTGCCGACCGCCGAAGCGTGTTACCGCCACTCATGCTGCTATCTGGCCGAGGTGGTAGTACCTGACCGAGTGCGTGCTTTGCGAAGCGCAGTACGCTCGGTCATTTGACATGCCTCGGCGGCGTACGAACACGACCAAGACAAGGCGTCAGCTCGCCATAAGCCTCGAATAGGCGGCTGTCGTCATCTGTGGCATACACCGTGCCTCGTTGTCGACCCTACGGCGACTGTGACCCCTTCTCTTTCTCCTATTTACCTCTCTGTCCAAGTATCCGCGAACGTCCTCTCACTTGTCACTCTTATCAAAACAAATACGTACGTCACAGGATACTGATGCCTGAGTGACGCTATATTCGTTCTTTAAAAAAAAACTGCAACACGATTAGAGTACGGACAACGCCTCCTAAAAACTATGCCAGGAACCATAGAGTTTCTCAATATTGGGAAACTCTTTGCCTGGAACGTCGCTCTCTTTTCAATTGGGAGCCTCCAGCCAGCAAGCAATCTCGGAGGCCATGCCTCCTGCCTTGTGTCGCAACCGGCCGAAGCGTGAGACTGCTCGCCTCCGTGCCGCTATAGAGGCTAGAAGGTTTGAAGGTTTTTCTAGTGTCGTGAAAGGCGCGAGCCTTGTGAAATACTTTGCTATGCTCCGGTAGATGTCATCAGTGCTCGCAAGCGGGTTTTTGAGGGGTAAGCGCGTTTTCGGGGCAAGCGGGCCCTTCGGGGTGCAGGATAGCTAGTAACGAGCAAAACGGTTAACCAGGAAGACTATTTGACAGGTGGTATGGACACATACGATTCCAAAGTGGCACCAGTATCTAAGACAGGTAGAGTCCGGGGCAGAAATAAAAGCCACGATCGCCGAGCCAGTTCAGACATAGGGTATATTAACATGCAGGGTGGTAGAAGCAGGCTCAAGTGGGAAGACCTAGAAGAACAGCTAAGGGAGGAGAGGCCGATGGTATACGGTTTTGTAGAAACGCATCTCAGAGCATATACAGGAGGCTATGCTCAGAGACATAGAACAACCTCCTAACAATGCGGACTACGCGTGGGAATATTGTAATAGAACAGAAGGCAGCAGAAAGGGGGGTGTTATTGGGGCATTCATTCATAAAAGTACAGACTGGCAAAGGGTCAAGCAGGAGTGCAAGGAACATTTATGGCTAAAAGGGAAAGTGGCAGGTCAAATGACACTCCTTGGTTTCGTGTACTTGTGGACGAGAGCAAAGGCCAGAGAGGAAAACCAGGCAGTGGTAGAGTGTATAACAAAGGACATTGAGGAGTTAGGAGGAGAGTACGAGATAATTATACTAGGAGATATGAATGCGCACATAGAAGATATAGATGGGTATACCGACCCGAGAGCCAAAATGATCATGGATATTGTCACGGGGTCGTGACGTGGCCGAAGACAGGAGACTTTGCGTTGGAATTTAACTGTTTATTTGGGCGAACCTGTTCCCGGTAAATGGAAAGTCCGATTACAGTAGCAGTCTTGGACTGATAGCGGCGAACGGAGCGTCGGCCGTTGATCAACTACTCACCAGCGGCGAAGCGCGTCGGCATTTATACTCTTGCCGTCGAATGGTCTAGCGTTATCGCTGGCGGTGGCGTAGGTTTTAGAATAATCTGTACTGTTCGCAGAGCAGGCGTGATCTTATCGAAATGGTCTACTACAGTCCGGAGGCTTCTCGAAAACTGCAGGCGCGGTTTGCGCTGAGAATTGTGTAGTGTTTTGGGACGATAACAAAGCTTGGTAAATGGAACGTGGCATTGCCCCCCTCTGAAAAAGGCATCGTCCCGATGCTTTAACTAAAGATGAAGGTACAATAATAATGCAAGAAAGTACAATGAATAAATTACAATGCAATTATCATACAAAAAACACTGTTTCAGTTTGTTAACGCGCATGAAACGGCTTGAGGCGCGCGACGTGTGAAAGGCTTGATTTGATCATTTGCAACAGTACCGAGAAATGTGAAGGGCAAATAACATGGGAGGTAGGAAGGCTGCAGTCGACGATAGATTACGCACTGATGTCACATAAAATGTATGATTAGCTCATGGCAAAGCGCGTATTTGAAGGTGGTTCCATAAATCTGGGTAGTGATCACAAACGTATCAAGCTAAGTTTTGAAAGAGCAGTGAAAGTGGGAAAGAGACAAGATGAGCAACTACAAGAAAAATTTTATTCTCAAAGGCATATTGAAATAGCCACTAAACAAATTGAGGAAGTAATCACTGAGGATAATAAAACAGTGTGGACATACACGAATCTAATAAGAATGTTTGAGCTAGAGCTTGTTAAGGCACGTGACAAGTCATCCCGGATAAAAAGACACAAACCCAAAAGTTGGTGGGATGAGGAAGTTAAGAGAGACATAGCAAAACGTCAGGAAGCCTTTAGGGAACACCAAGGAGGATATAAAAACTTGCTGGAGTGGAAGCGACGCCCGTCAGGTGACGCCAGCGGCAGCCATCTTGCCGGAGGCAGAAAGCGCGCTGCCGGTGTGTCGCCTCCACGCTTCGTTGCTGGTGCACGCTGTTCTCTTCAAAGTTTTCAATGAGTGCAAGTCTTGCTCTTGGATAATGGTTACCTCTTGCGTTGCCTACGGATGCACAAACAGGCTGAAGAAAGGTTGTGGCCTCACATTTCACCTGTAAGTACATGAAATTCAGCGTGTTCTACTCGCGGTCATTTCAGCCGCATTGTAGTTGCTTGCAGGCCCGTGCATGAAAGAGCAGCAAAATGGCATTGTGTGTACGTGTGCCGCAGTTGATTGTCGTATATTTCTTGACAGGTTTCCAAAGAATGCAGAAGTTCGGAGTCTTTGGGAGCGGGCAGTTCGCCGTGAAGGGTAGCGCGCTAAGGATGGAGACCGCCTGTGCTCTGTACATTTCACTCCTGAGTGCTTTGACCACACTGGGCAAACGACGCGACTGCGGGTGGGAAGTGTGCCCACGTCGTTTCCAGCTTTTCCGCCTCATCTGCAGAAACCTGTGAGTATTACTGACATCGTTGGACGAGAAGCGTAATGTTTAGCGTGCATAACGCTTGTGGCGTTACGGCCGCTACATAATACTTGTTCCACGAAATGTTGTTGCGGGTATACGTGGCATTTTTTGCGTGCCGAGAATTGGCGGTACTGTGGAGGAGTAGCTGTCGATTTAGCATATCGTTACCGTGTTTGCGTTACCGTTTACCGCGTTACCGGACACCACCGGCGAAGGTGAAGTTACCGGTAATGGTAACTGCTTCACCTTCGGCTTAACTGGTGATCAAGATACTTATTTATTTATTTATTTGTTTATTACTACTGACCTGTTTACCAGGTCTTAAGCAGGAATTGGCATACAGAAATGTTTACTACAGAAACATTATTGACATCTACAGCATACTGACAGTGGTTACAATTCAATACTTAAAGGCACATCCGGCGAATGGAAAGTTATACCAGAGCGGGTGCATGTCCTTTTTGCTGGCATACAATGTCTCGTGCACGACTATGAAAAAGCTTGTTACTTAATACATTTATTATTTCTTCAAAGAAAATGTGTAGCTTAATCGTACCCACATTATACGTGTGAGGTTTCATTTAGTTTTTGCGCTTGCTGCCTTTTTAGCTCGTCTGAGAAAACGTATGCTTTCAAACCCAGGTCAAACAGAAGCGTCCCGACCCCAAGTCTCGAGATTTCCCGGCCCCGCTTGGTCCTGAGTGTTCTGGGTTGTGCGACCTGCCTGGAGCTGAATATTTTCCTGAAGACTCGCCAACCAAACAGTTCTACAAAGACAAGGTCCTTTCCTCACAAGAAGAGATAACCCAGTTGAAGAAGAAGGTCAAAAGACTGCAGCAAACTAAACGAAGGCTGGTCAAGAGAAATGAAACCGCCCAAGAAATCATCAAAGAAATCAGAGAGCGAAAACTCTTGTCAGAAGAAGGCTCGCATGTGTTTTCATCTGTTTTCTCGGATGACATTCAGCAACTACTGTGCAGGGTGGGCAATGAGCAGAAGGGCAAGTACCCACCTGAGCTGCGAGCATTTGCACAGACTTTGCATTTTTAGTCCAGCCGCGTATGAGTATGTACGATCCAAGTTCAACGAAGCCCTCCCATTCCAGCGAACACTAAGGGGCTGGTACAAGTCTCCCCGCACTGCTCGTTTCGGCTATACTGTTCGCATATATTTTTAATGTTTGTGTGATTGTGTTCTTCCATTTTCGAGTTTCTCAAAGCGTTTCCGTAGGCCATTTCGCCACCAAAAAGCAAAGAATAAATGCTTACAACCTGACACAACTGTTTTTATTGCTTTGAAGACGCGAGAAACTGCACCTGCTGCTTAGATAAGCGCGAGCGCAGCTGTACTCGGCTGTTTCTTGCCTCTGCCAAGATGGCCGCCGGCGGCTCGGCGCGGCTTCACCCGCTCCCATGGGTAAGCATAGGCGGCTTCCACTCCAGCAGGTTTTTATATCCTCCTTGGGGAACACAGACATGCTAAGCAGCGGGGTGAACCGACAGATGATGTTGAAAGAAAATGGGAAATCTTTCTAAGCTGTAGAAGGGATGTATCCCTTCTGATCAATGAAAAGATTAGAAGAAGGGAGCTCAGTGGTTGGCAGAAGTACATAAGAAATATAGAAAGGCAGCTGTGAAATTTTGGAACCATCTAAACTCCCTAAGAAATGAGACGAGCCTAGAGCAGAGGTTTATAACTACAGCTCAAGATGCAAGGCTAGAAGGGGACGAAGCTATTGAACAAGGGTGACAGAAAAATTTCAACAAAGAAGTGCTTTATGCACCACAATAGACAAGGATGAATCAAGTGGCGTAATTGCTCCATTTTCACAACCGACCGTGGGAAAAAGCTGAGAAAAGGGTTCCCAGTAGTACATCAACAGGCCCAGATGGCATTCCAATAATGCTCATAAATACATTAGATCCGAAGTCTAAGCAGGCTTTGAGAGAGGCAGGGAGCAAAATAATAATCGATGGAGCTGTTCCCGATGGATGGAAACTTAGCAGCATGAGCATGATCTATAAAGGAAAGGTGGACAAAGCAGACATAAACAACTACCGTCCTATAACAGTGACATCAGTGGTCTACAGGCTGGCGATGCAGATTATAAAGGAAAAACTGCAGGCATGAATAGAGGATAAGGGAGTGCTGTGAAACTGTAGAATGGGTTTAGGAAACACAGGAGGTTGGAAGACAATCTGTTTTCACTGACGCAATGCATCGAAATAGCAGAAAAGGAACACAAGCCCTGTGGCTAGCATTTTTGGATATCAAGGGAGCGTACGATAGCGTTGTTCAAAAGGACTTGTGGGGAATACTGGACACACTAGGTGTGAACGATAGAGTCACTAATCTTTTAAAGGAAATCTATAACAGTAACAAGGTAATTATAAAGTGGGAAAAACAGGTATCCAAGCCTGCAGAGGTAAAACGGGGGCTTAGGCAGGGGTGCCCTATGTCACCCTTATTATTCATGATTTACCTACAAGGATTAGAGGCCAAATTAGAGGGAAGTGGACTACGTTTCAACCTCTCTTTCGTCAAACAAAGAAAACTCATTGAACAGGCACTACCAGCATTGATGTACGCAGATGATTGTACGTGATGATGTACGCATTGATGTACGCAGAGTGCTAATGACCGACAACAAGGAATATTTGCAGAGATTGGCGGACATCTGCGGAAATGAGGGAGATAGGTAAGATTTCTGATTCAGTAAGGAAAAATCAGCAGTCATGATTTTTAATGACAATGAAGGTAGTGAGATTAGAATACAGGAGGTCACGCTAGAGATAGATACAAATATCTGGGTGTATGGATAAGCAATAGGGCCGGGTACCTAAGGGAACGCGAAATATACGTGACGACTAAAGGTAACAGGAATGCAGCGGTAATGAAAAACAGGGCACTGTGGAATTACAATTGGTATGGTGTTGTGAGATGAATATGGAAAGGAGTCATGTTTCCTGGTCTGACGTTCGGCGATGTGGTCTTGTGCATGAGATCAGAAGTTCAAGAAAGTTTAGAAATTATGCAACGTGGAATAGGTAGGCTTGCCTTAGGAGCTCACGCGAATACACCAAATCAGGGAGTACAAGGTGATATGGGATGGACATCATTGAAGGGCACGGAAACTATCAGCAAGATAAAATTTGAGAAGCGATTGAGAGAAATGGTGGAGGAGCGTTTGGCTAGGAAGGTATTCAGCTACTTGTACATGAAGAATGTCGATACAAAATGGAGGAAGCGAACCAGAAATTTGACTGGTGAGTACTTAGAAAACAGCAAGGGGGCAAACCAAAAAGAATTATCGGTTAAGAAGAAGATGAAGGAAGCTGAGACCGATAAGTGGGGAATTGGCATGATTAAGAAGTCCGCACTAGAAATCTATCGAACTTTTAAGCAGGAAATTACCAAGGAAAGGATGTATGATAATACTCGGGGTAGTTCTCTACTGTTTGAGGCCAGGAAGGGAGCATTGCAAACCTAGACATATCGGGCCATATACGAAGGGGCGGACATGGTATGCAGTGCGTGTGGAGAGAAAAAATAAACTGCCGAACACTTGATAATGTTCTGTAAAGGACATCTACCTATAGTTCAGGATGATGGCGCAGAGTTTTTCAAAGCACTTGGGTTTAGGGACAGGGAGGGCAAAATAGACTTTAAGCGGGTAGAATTAACCAGAGGGAGGTTATCTTATTGGTGGCTAAAGTCAAAGCACGAGTGAAAATTAAACACTTCACTGAAAAGTACGAATCCTCTACGTCACTATTTAAAGAAAAAAAAATAAATCTAGTTTTCGTTTCATTATGCATTACGGCTTGGTGGTGCTAGCCACCACCCGATTTGAAGGGTACAGCCATATCCATCCATTCGGGTAGCGCTAGCCAGCGCTCCACGAGAAAGGACCTTTCCTTCCTCCGTGCAGCGCCCGATCTAAAGGGTACAGCAATATTCATCCATCCATCCATCGGGTGCGCTTTTCTGCGGGCGCTCGCAAGTGAGGGGTGTTTTCCGTCGGCCGCTACTCTGGGATTTATTTTTCGAGCGAACGCAAGTTCGAAAAAAAGAAAACAGGCATACAACCACGTATGAGGTCTCAGCAGCCTTCCAAAATGAACGAGCACGTTAAAACGAGGATTGATGAAATCAAAACATCAGTGCAAGGGAGTTGTTTGACAATAGTTGACGCCAGACCGTCGTATTGTTCACCGTGCTTGAGCAGTGCCCACATGACGTCATTCTTGGTCTCGACTTTTTCTCTGCGCACTCCACCCTTGACTGCTCGACGGGTCTTCTTCAGGTGGAACTGCCTTTTGACGCCACTGTTGCCCGTGGTGCTCAAAGTCACCTTTGTGCCACCGAGTTCCTGCATCTTCCGCTGCAAGCCGCGACTTACGTGCAGCTTGTGTGTGATCCGCGTGTGCGCGTAGGTGAATATGTCGTTTCACCTATTACCGACATTGTGCTAAAGCATTCCATTGTTGTCCCGCACACCGTGGTAAGAGTACGCCACAACCAGACCCATCTGTCTCTTTTGAACCTTGGTGTCTCCGCGCACGTGCTGCCTGCTGGTATTGAACTAGGCGTCATGTCGTCGTTGCAAGAGTGTGATATTTCTGAACTGTCGGCTCAGCAACCTACTCCGCACGTCAACTTGCTCACTACGCCCAACCTGTCAAGCTTTGACATTGCCAAAATGATAGCTCCAGATCTTTCGCCCTCCGAAGCACCAGAACTCCACCGTCTGTTGACATCCTATGCGAACATATTCGATCTTGACAACCGCCCTTTAGGCAAGACATCAGTTGTGACCCATCACATCAACACCAGCGATGCCAACCCAATTCATCACCGCCCTTACCGTGTATCCGCTGCAGAACGCTCTGTCATCCAGAAAGAGGTCGAGAAAATTCTCGCCAAAGGCGTTGTCGAACACTCATCTAGTCCGTGGGCATCCCCAGTCGTGCTTGTCAAGAAGGACAACACATGACGGTTTTGCGTCGACTATAGACATCTCAACAAGGTCACTAAGAAGGACGTTTACCCCTTACCAAGAATAGATGACGCCCTTGACTGCCTTCATGGCACAAAGTTTTTTTCGTCCATTGACCTTCGATCTGGTTATTGGCGGATCGCTGTTGACCCACGAGACCGAGAAAAAACGTCATTTGTAACCCCCGATGGGTTATACCAATTTAAAGTAATGCCGTTTGGACTTTGTAATGCGCCGGCCTTTGAGCACATGATGGATTCCCTTCCGCGCGGCTTCAAATGGTCCACTTGCTTATGATACTTAGATGATATAATTGTTTTTTTCACCGACGTTCGCAGGGCATTTTGAGCGACAGTCCAGTATTCTCCAAGTATTCCGCAACGCTGGTCTCCAGCTGAACTCCTCCAAATGCCGTTTCGGCCGTCGCGAAATAACTGTACTTGGTCACCTCGTTAACGCATCTGGGGTACAGTATGATCCGGACAAAATTCGCGCTGTTACGTTTGGCCCGGCGATTCGTCTGGGCAGACGCCATTGTGCACAAGCCGATCTACTGGGGAGGCTCTCAGCCCCTTCGGCGCCCAATCTGCCAGGCGCTGTTGAAGATTTCGGCATTACCCAGACCATGCGGCAAGCAAACGCGAGTTCCTGACTTTCAAATGCAGACTTTTTCGTCGTCCCTTCGAACAGCAGCGGTGCCTGATGACCTCGGCGACTTACCTGGTGACGGGGAAGCTGTTGTGACTGACCGGCGCAGAGCTGACAGGGGAGCGGCGCTCCTTTTAATCCTCAATCAAGTAGACGACCGTCCAGAGAGGACAACAAACCGTTCCAGAGAGGGCAAAAAAGACAGCATCTGCCTTGGAAGAGACCGTGGCGGCCGCCGCAAATCACACCGCTAATTAAGCGAACAGATTGGCGTACCCTTTGATGTATGCTGTCAGGATCTTGGGACCTCTCGACTAGCGGCACACACACGACGAGGAAGAGCCCTGCTGGGGCCACCTTGCAGTGCAGTGATCACGAC